AGAACTGTTACAGGCAATAGCTGCAAAAGTTGAATCAGTACTACAAGTACAATCAAGTCACTACCACTGCAGTTTAAACAGTTGGCTGCCTCCTTTTTTAATGCTGTTTGTATTTCTTACCTCAGTCAGGTGCCTTTTCTGAGTTTTGACCCTCAGCTACTGAAATCAATCCCTGAATGGCAGAAAGAACATGACAAGTAACATGCTGCTTACATGAACTTTGTCAAAGGGTGCCAGATGCCTTTGACTGACTGCATTTTGGGAGTCTGTTTCTGATTGATTTCCATATCTCTACAACTTGGCAAAATGCTGCCTTACCATTCCAATCAATTCAGTGGACGCAGAACATGCAATTTCACTGTATGGACAAGTGTTCATGTTGCAGTGACAGAGGATATTAGTAGCAACTGCCGATAGATGCTGCATGCTAGCATTTAACAACTAACATGAGTTGTTTCCATCAAGGTTAGCACTATTTAGTATTACTAAACTTTTTGTAGCACACCAATAATTAATTATGATATTAGATACAATTCATGTTGTGTATAAATCTATACTCGTAATATATTACAATTTAGATTTAAATATAACACTTAGATTTACAATAATGCAGTAATGTATGCGATATTTCCAGACTGCTATTTAATTATGCCACAGTTTTTGCCTCAGACAATCAGCAGCAAGGGGCGAGGCCACAGGGCTCCTCAGCCAATCAGCAGCAAAGGGGGCTTCGCTGCAAAAATAAGGCAAAACTGGCTCAGTATGCCACAAGCAGCCCACAAAAATCCCTTTGTCCTGCCATGATTTAGGTAGGTCCTTAGTCATAATCAATCGGAGATCATAATCCACCAATTCATCCCACCCTTTCATGTCTATATTTTTAGCCGACACAAAAGCCATCCACATTATTTTTCATAATCAAATCAGCAGACTACCTGTCTCTCCTTCCAGACCTGTCCCTTATAAGCAGGAATAGAGAATTGCAGAACTATTGCTGGAAGAATTCCTGTTCTTGAGCCCTGTGCACATGGGCATGTTCCAACTATATTGCAGAGAAAGGCAGGCTAGGAGACGAGCAGTGTCAAGATAGATTTCATACATAGAAATTCAGAATTGCCAGTGTTGGGTTAGACAATCACTAAAAAGTTGAGCTCAAGGATTCACAAAACAGATCAGTTCTGCAACCTTTTAGCAGAGGCAAGCTGAATTAAGGGAGCTCGGTCAGAAAGTGAACTACTACTTCTGACCTAACTGCTGCTGCCACCAAAGTTCACCCTTCCTCTGCTGCATGCTGCCACCAACTCAACTCACTGCTGATGTCCCAGCTCAGTAGGTCAGATAACATTGCTTGGTGGGTTAGACCTGGCCTGTGGACTACAGATTGTCAAGCCTTGGTATAGAAGGTCAGTAGGCATGGACTTTAGGATGACCATGACTTAATATAAGCATGTTTTACTCGAGAGAAATCTGAGTGCACTATCACGACTTAACTGTAGTAAAGAATTTTGCTCCCCCATGCTGTGATCTTTGGTGAAAGATACAAGCAGAGTTTGTCAGTAACCTCTCACCAAGTCAGGCAGCACTGTGCTGAAACATGCCACACAGCTCTGCCTGGATTACCTCCTGCACCGAAAGAAGCATAGTCACATTTTCATGGTGCCACACCCGAGCTTCTTAGCTCACCCACAGAACTAAGGCAGGTTATGATCCAGGAGGCAGTGGTCACATAGCAGCATGCATGTTTCAGCCCGGCACTGTCTGGTTCAAGTGCAGCCCCAGCAGCACATGCTCTGAACTCAGGCATGTAGGGAACATTCTTATGGTATATCAAGTCTAGGCAAAGGCAAATACTTACAAAAGCAACAAGTATTAAAAAGAAAGAATATTTTAAAGAGCCTGTAAGAGCTGTTGGCAAGCTGACATTGTAGCTCAGCCTAATACTTCTGGTTAAAATGATAGAAGTTACTGCAGTTATGTCTGTATTAAGGCATCTGCTATTAGAGCTGGATTGCTGTTACTATTAACAGGAAATTTCAGGCGATAACACACTACTGCAAGCAAGACTTCTGATTGCGAATTTCTTAGGGCAGGAATTCAGTATCATGGCAGCATTATTCTCAGGACTGTATAACATCGGGGAAAAATAATGAAAATGTATCAGCCCTTGCACTGGGGCAATTCATATCAGTCAACAAATATTATGATACTCCAAAGTGATGGAAACGACTTTATAGAGAATGATAACAAGCGTCTGAGACAAATCTTACATTTCAATACCTGGCAGGGGGGTGGGGTTGCATATACTAGAACAGGGGCGGGCAATTATTTCAGGTGGAAGACTGCTTACCCAGTTTTGGCAAGTTGTCAAGGGCTGCATGGGTAGCCCCGCACCTTGACAGGTGCCCCGCCCCCTGGTCACTGTCTTGGGACCAATGTCCCAGGTCCAGCACCGGTGGGGCCCAGAGGAGGGCACAGGCTGACAGGGGTCTGTGGAGCTGGGTTGGGCTGCACCAGCAGGGAGAGGAGTGAGCTGACCTGGCTCCATGGAGTCCCTGCTGGCTGAGGCCAGGACTCTGTACCCCTGCTGCCCTGCTCTGGGCCCTGCTGGCCCCAGGACCCCGGTGTGGGCCCTGTGCCCCCCCAGCCCTGCAGTACAGGCGGCGATGGTGGGGGGGGGTCTGTTGCTGCAGGTGCCTGCCGAGGATTCCCCTGGGTCCTGTCATTTTTGACAGGAACCAAGGACAGATAAATTTTAATTTTCAAAAAAATTTTAGGAGCCCTGTGGTCCGGATAGAATGGCCTCACGGGCTGGATCTGACCCACGGGCTGTATTTTGCTCACCCCTGTACTAGAATATGACAACTTGCTGCCTGTTTATACATGGCTTTTATTGAAAAAGCTTATTGAGATTTAAAAAAAGGAAAAAAGGAAAAAGCATGGAAAAGCTTCTCGAAGCCATCACTGGAAAATAAAGTACATTGTTATTTTATTTTAGTCACACACCTAAACACTCAGGAGTTGTCCTTTTCGTAAAGGTTTAAAACTTTGTTTTCCACTGTGGCTGCAATATACTTTCTCAGAAGCCTGGAAAGCCAGTCTTTCCTTCTGGTTGTTCATGTTTTATCAAATGCAGACACACTTCTCCACTCCTCCCTCCTAGCCATTTATCTTATAACTTGAAACAAACACCTTTTGCTGTTGATGTAACCTCTAAATAAAAGTAAAAGGTGAACTGCCAAAGAGAACTGCGTTTGTGACCCCTCTTTAAACTACCTGCTGATTTAGAACAAAGGTCTGAATGATTTTCCTTTTCTCTAATGAGGTTTTTTTATATATTCAAAAACCCCTGGAACTTAAAAATAGGAAGCAGTCTGTGACTTTGTGCTTTCCTGAGTGAATCCAAGAAGTTGAAAGACTTCTTGGCCTCAACTGGGGGGGGAACGACCTAGCAAAGAGCTTTTCTCTCAACTGCCTGTTAGATGTCTGAGTGAACAGATACCAAAGATTTAAATAGTCCACTCTGTGTGGACGCTATCTGAGGATAAACTTATGTTCTACATACAAAGTTCCCCTGATGCATCCGATCTGTTCCAACATTATACCTTTGAACTTTTACGGAAAAAAATCTTTACCCCAAAACTGAGCCAAGACAGTTTTAAGCTAACGTAAGTCCAAGAGAGGGATGTGGCTTAATCGAACAAAATAATTTGTAAACCTGACTTGACTTAGGCTTGATCCACAAAGTTACACCAGTCAAACCAAGGGCATAATCTTGTTCTGATTTTATTTAAACCAATAAAACTTCTTTGTGTAGAGATAAACTCTCAACTATGGAAGTTTAAGTCCTCCCTTGTAGCCAATGCTTCAACCCTATCAATTCTCTTACCATTCAGAAAAAAAATAAGGCTTTTACATTAGAAATTAAAATTCTTGTCTAAGAAATGCAATTACAACAAATGCTATGGGGAAGAAGTTTTGTTCATTTTGTTTTTAAAACAGGACCAATCTAGTTTCACCTTCTTTCTGGCATGGTCATCTTAGCAATTTGTACATAAGCAATGAGAATATCAAAAGGTGTTGCCCATCTTACAGAAACAGGGGCTGTTTTGTGAATTCGCCAATTAGTGAATTTTAAGCTAAAAAATCATCCCCAGATTAAAGATTAAAATAATTTTAAAATGTATAATACCTATGTACAGATTGCCAAATGCAACTCAAAAATCAGAGTTAGGCCTGAAAATGTTCTTAAAAAGAATGTGTCAATAGTTTAAATTGAACTATAGATTACTAGTTTGATTTACAAAAAAATCCTACTACCTGTAAAGTTCTTATCGACTTCAATGGACTTGTGGATTCCTAAATACTTTGAAGTAGATAGATGCTGAACTCAGTTATATTCCAAAATAAAAATTCTTGAAAGCTATTTTCCTTCTTAACTTGCTATCGACATGGATCAAATCAAACTATGCTTTTGTTTGAGCAAAATGTTATGTTCTTATAATGGAATTACTCACTAAACAGACTGCTTCTAGTACATAAAGCATTATATAAAAGATACTTTTACAAGGACCTTTACAAGATCAGTACTGTAGGCCTTGCCTAAACAGAAAACATTTTCCAACGTAGCATACAACGAATTTAAACAGTTTAATTATACTGGTGCAATTCTCCTTGTATACACTATTTTTCAGAGTAAGCAGGGGTTTTCAGTTTAGTTTATGTGACTTGGAAAAGGGATTAAGAACTGAAGAAAGTTACTCTTATCTGGAAACAAGACCATCCACATGAACATTACAACGGCACATCTATGTTTCAGAAACATTAAGCTTTACCAATTTACTTGCCTGAATGTGCTTTAATTCAAGCACATTAATTTTACACCTTTAGTTGATTCACCTTACCTCCCCATTTAGAAAAGTCCAACATATACGTGCACATGTATGTGGAGGGGGATGTAGCTGGGATTTATATAGCAAGCTTCATGTTCATTTTTTGCTTACCTATGGTACATACGTTATAACTTCACATCAGGGATGCATAATCACTCTCTGAAGACCCCTGCAGTTAAATAAACAAAAAAGAGACACTTTCAGTTGCACTGCTTAAAAAACAAAACAAAACAAAAAAACAACTTAACAAAAGTTTAAAAACTTTAAACAAAAACATTATGATTGTGCCTCTTTAACTTTTTATCCCTGAATTAATCTGAACCAAATTATTTTACTTCAATAATATTTTCAACATAATGACATCCTCAACTAAAATAAAAGCTTTTACCTGAGGTGTCTTCTGAAAGCACTTAACATAATAGCTCACATGAGAGAGAAAGGGCCACTCTAAAGAACATTACTTTCCTCACATGTACTACCAGGCTACATATGGTATGGTATTAAAAGAGAAAATAATATACTACTCTGGGCATCAGGCAATTACTGAATCAAGATAACCCAACAGAAGACTGATCTTGGAAGCCCTCCAGTTGCTGAACTCATAGTTTTTCCATCTTCACATGAACGATTGAAGCAAACAGGAGCAAGAGTCAGCCAGATCCCTGTGATAATATATGCACTGGTTTCCTTAGACATAATTAGAAATGTTTTTCAACCATAAAGCTTTGCTACCCTGCCATGTGCATAGATCGCAATCCAAATTTTATTTCTTAAGAAGTTTCAGCCCAAACTGAAGTGGTCTTTGTTTTAAAAGTATTACTAGTACTTATTCCCACACAAACCTGCAAATACATTAGGTGCTTCTGCCCTGTGCATCATACGTTACATATGTATTTTCTAGATTGGTAATAAAAAACATTGGATTATTTTAAAATAGTTGATGGTTTTTTGTGACAATGACAGCTCATTGGATTATTTTAAAATAGTTGATGGTTTTCCGTGACAATGACAGCCCCCCCCCCCCTAAGTTTTCTAAACTTAAGAGCATAGCAGACAGTAACCGTTGCAGGCTGTGGGCCAGGGACACAGTTCAGGTCAGAGAAAGGAGCTCCATTCTACAGTGGTGTGGGAAAACTGCTAAAGGCCTCTACTGCTGAAGCCCCACATCCACAAGACCGATCAAATGGCTCCATGGGATAGATCCAGTCTACAGGTCACAGGTTGCCAACCCCTGGCACAGGTCAAAATATTACCTGGCCAATACTAGTCAATGGCTTCCAAATCTCCTTTTTAACTATATCTCTCACAAAGGAACAGGTAAGATCTGAAAACATAAGCTGTATCTGAGGAGTGCGAATACAGCATTTTAATTAAATTAATTAGAATAGAGCATTTTACAAGCTATGCTTAGTTTTCTGAATTCTATTTAAAATATCTTAGACTGAATATAAATCACACAGTAGAACAACCACCTGTTAAAATGTTGTTACCATAGAAAATGCTATTCTCTGATGCAATCCTGTCCTGGTCATAGCTATTCCAAATACTGCTACAGAGATCCCTTTCTTAACTCCAGTACTTTTGGCCCCATCAACACTTTTTCATTCTATTGCCTTCCCCTTTCACTGGAGCATCAAGCTCATGCTACTTGCTTTAACATTCAAGGCCTTTCTTCATCAGTTCCATCTCATTCACTACCAGCAAACTGACTGCCAACCTCCAAATAGCTACCGATGCCACCTTCCATCTGAATTTTCAAACAAGGTCAAACAAGTTCCGCATAAATATCTCCAAACCTAAGGTGTTACCCTCCTTCAAATTTCACTTCAAGCTCTCCTTCACTCCAAAACCTACAGAAGAGTTGACAAACGCTTAGGCTAGTGTTGCTCAGCCTCCTGTTTGCAGGCTAAATCCAGTCCATGGAGCCAGGTTATCTGACCTGTGGGATTTCGTACAGGTCTGGAATTTGGTAGAAGAGGAGGGGTGGCAGTGTTAACCGCTGCAGCTTCTAGTCACCACCACATTTCCTGACCTGTGAGGAGCCCTGAAGACCAGATGGCATGCCCTTCTGCCCTGGACCGCTCCTGCAAACAGTCCTCTGAGTATCAATCTCACATTGGATCCAGCTTGTGGACTGGCTCCACACTACTCATCTGGCACATGGGGCAGGAAGGTTGAGCACCGCTAGTTTAGATTACTGGCCACCACACTGACCAATGCTATCCTCACTACTTGCCTTCTCCAACTGCTTGTAACCATTCGCTGTCTCTTGTCTCTGCAAACTCTCTGGAGCAGCGTTCATGTTTTTGTTCTGTGTTTCCATTTGGAACAGACATTTGATAGAATTCAAACAAAATATATGGCCAATAACTGGTCAGATACTATTAAAATGGTCAGATATTTTTAAATAATTTATTAAAATGTCAGTGACAGAAACAAAAATGAAGAAACAGAGCTTTTAATATTTAACAGGTTAACAACCCCCAGCACGTGTGCCGAGCACAGCATGCGAGGCCATTTTGCTCAGCACACCACCACCAGCCTGGGCTCTGGGCAGCTGCTGCCAGCCATGAAGCCTGAGCTGCTCCCAGCAGGCAGCTGCAAGCCCTGCTGCAAGCAGACCAGGTTCCATAGTTGGCAACAGCTACCCAGAGCCTGGGCCAGTTGCAGCCAGGAGGCTGCAAACATCTGCTCCTGGCTCTGGCATTAGGTCCACACCGGTGGGTGCACACATTTCTCAGAGCAGATGGTGGGGGAGGGGCCTGAGGCAGCACAACCCTGGCCTCTCCCCCACTGCCGGCACAGAGCTAATGACTGGGCTTTGGAGCCTGGCACAGCTGTTTGTAGCCAGCCTGGGCTCTGGGCAGCTGCAGTGGGCAGGCTGCAAACAGCTGCACTGGGCTCCACAGCCCTGGCATCAGCTCCATGCTGGCGGTGACTGCATGGGCACCTCGGGCGGACAGCGGGAGGGCTGTGCTGCCTCAGGCCCTATCACCACCTTCCGTTCCGAGGTACACGTGCACCCACCAGTATGGAGAGCCCAGAGCAGCTGTTTGCAGCCTCCTGGCTGCAGTCAGCCCAGGCTCTGGTAGCTGCTGCCAACTACAGAGCCCAGGCTACTTGCAGCAGGACTTACAGCTGAGCCCGCCCGACTCCCACCCACTCTGAGCCCAGCCCCCCACCACAATGAGTTTGGTGCTGCCCCTTCCCAGGAGCACCACACATTTCCAGGCTTAGCTGTGCAAGGTGGGTGGGTGGGTGGGCTAACGGGCAGGCTCCGGGCTGGGGCCTTGGCCAGCTGTGCTGCAACCTGGGCCCTGGCTCCCCGGGGAAGCACAGGGGCTCTGGCGGGACCAGGGCATTGTTGGGTCGGACTTTGTCCAGTGGCCCAGGAGCCTGGCTCCGTGTACTTGCACATCTGGTTCTGTGTGTTTGTCTGCCTCCGTCTGGTTCTGCGCGTGTGTGCACACACGTGTCCGGTTCTGGGTGTGTTTTGGTTCTCTGTGTTTGTGCACGTGGTTCTCTGTGTGCATGTGTGTCTGTCTGGTTCTCTCTCTGCTCTCCTTTCTCTCTCTCTCTCCTGTTTCTCTTATTTGTCTCTCTCTCTCTCTCTCTCTCATTGCAACATGCTCAACAACAAAAAAGGAATACAAAACACAAAGGCAACATTTATAATTATTAAATATACTAATATGCAGTGCATCCTGCCATGTAACCCTCCCCCCGTTTTGTTTTTCTGGCATGCCAGCACTCTCCAAGGTAGACGTGGTTTTTTTCGGCACTCTGGCCAAAAACCGTTGGCTACCCGTGGGTTAGATATTTGTCTAAACCAAGGAAAAAAAAAAAATCAAGCTGCTTGTCTGGGTTCTTTTTAAACTTTGGAAAATGTGAAATCTGAAATGAAATTCTAAAAAGTTAAAGAACAATTTAAGCAGCCTTCAAGTAGTTTTTAAAATACAAGGATTGTTTAAGACTGAACTGTAACAAAAGGAAAGATCTGCAGTTAAAAGAGGAATAAAAGCACAGCGAAAACAAAACAAAACAAAAACAAGTCCCCGATGTATGCTCTAAGGCAAAGGGTGCCAAGCTCCTGGCCAGACTTCTACCTAGTGAGGCTGTCTGCATGCAGCTCCAATCCTGCTGCCATTTGCAGACCAGACAGCAAACCCATGGCGAGTCGAAGCTCAGGTAAGGATCTCCCCACTGGAGAAGGGAGGAGTGCAGGGGGGAAGAAACCCACAGCTCCTGGCTCATCTGGGCTTGCTGGGCCAGGGCCTGGTAGAGGTACGGGTGCCACTAACGCAATGCCGCAGTGTTCCCACACACTGCTTTGGTTTCCGCCACATGGGCACAGCTGTAGCAGCTCCTGCCCAACCCCAAGTCCCCAGCACACGACCAGGTGGGGCAGGGCTCATGCCAGCTCCACCCATGTGGCCTGAAACAGGAACCCAGTGCAGCACTGGCCCAGCCCAGCCGTGTGCTGGGAACTTAGGGTGGGGGAAGGGAGGAAACAAAGGTTGTTTCCCTAACCTTTGTCCACTCACCTTTCTGCCCTTAGATCAGGGGTGGGTGATTATTTGGGCTGGAGGGCCACTTAGGGAGTCTTAGTGAGCTGTTGTGGGCTGGGGGACAGAAGGTGCCTACCTAGCCTGTGACAGCTCACCAAAACTCCCTAAGTGGTCCTCTGGCCCAAATAATTGCCAAGCCCCAATTTGGAGAATGGGACTAAGTGCATGCTTAGCAAATCTGCAGACAATACCAAATTTGGTGAAGTTACAGATACTCCAGAGGGTATGGCTAGGATCCACAATGATCCAGATAGACTGTAGAAATGGTCTGCAAATCAATCAAATGATTTTCAACAAAGAACAAATGCAAAGTCTTGTATTTGGGATAGAATAATTGCATGCACAAATACAGACAGGGGAATAACTGGCAAAGGTTCAGGATTGCAGAGTAAGACCTGAAAGCTGAATATGAGCCAACAATGTGCTTTTTTTTTTTTTGGTAACAAAAGTCCCAAAACACACTGCACTGCATTAACGGGAATATCACTCATAAATCAGGGGCAGCGATTTTTCCACTATATTCAGCACCGGTGAGGCCTCACCTGGAGTTCTGCATCCAGTTTTGGGCCCCACACTTCAGGAAGGATCTGAACAGCTTGGAACAGGTTCCCACATAACAATAAAAATCATTAGGGCCCTTGGAGGCAACACTTAAAGGTGTGATAACACAGCAAATGAGTCAAAGTTATTCCACAACATGTAACATCTTTGTGGCTCATATGCATCATGCCTTAAACTGAACATATAGCATTTCAGGACTTACCCATGACAGATCCTGATGCTCATCCGAGGCTCCCTGATCCTGGCATCCCCATGTGCTTCAAAATCTAAAAATGGTATATGTAGCCCAGCTGCACATGCTGTTCTTAAAAATTTCCCAGTGCATTAGGACCTTGGGGTTAGAGAATGTCTCCTGGATCCCAGTCTGTATGTGCTGGGGATATCTAAAAACCTCTGGCCAGAGTGCAAAG